GCTGCGCGCTCCCGCCGCCCCACACGGACACTGCGCGCCCCCGCCGCCGCCCCTCAGGCAGAGCCGTCCGCAGGTGAGATGAGCCCCGGGCCGTGCCGCGGGTGCGGGCGGGGAAGTTGTTTTCTTTCCCTGCAGGGCGGGGATGGAGGGTTTGGGGGTTTGAATTAAAGGATATTCGCAGCCCGGGCTCCGGCCCCCGCCCGGGTTTGTCCCGCCGGGCACTGACTGCGGGCGGGGGTGACCCAGGGCAGCTCCGCGGGGTCTGCAGGGTCCRGCCCCGGGTAAGGAACCATCGAGTGGTTCGGGTGTGAAGGGACYTTAAAGCTCATCCCATTTTCCYYCTTCCACTGCCYCACGGTGCCCCRAWMCCCGTCCAGCCTGGCCTTGGACATTTCCAGGGATCCAGGGGCAGCCACAGCTTCTCTGGGCACCCTCTGCCAGGGCCTCCCCACCCTCACAAAGAAGGATTTTTTCCTATCAGAGCAGATTTAGCTGTTCCTGTAGAAATTGTCACGCCGTTTGCAGCCCTTACATTCCTGAAGCCATGGGATGTGACTGTGAGCAAGCTGCTGGTCCAGAGGATGCCAAGGAAAACTCACCGGTGCTGCCTGTGCTGGTGAAGGACCAGAACTCCCCATGSCAGAAGCTGCTTTGCTTTAATTTCAGATGATTTTTCACCTTCTGTGGAGTTGGGAAGGGAGTTTATAAGTGTTTTCRTGTCAGCTGATGTTAAAATGATAAGCAGGTATTAATTCTCAGAAGAAAGGACTTAGTGAAAGGTTTGATCCCAGWGGCTTTAGTTCTTGGGATCCTTTAAATCGTGCTGGGTAAGGCTGTTAATCTGAAATCTAAAAGGAAGCAACTGGTCCAGTGGTTTGCTAATGAATATTGCAATGAAATTTTGCTTTCAAAATTAGGGTAAGAATAAGCTGGTTGTAATAAGTAACTGATATCCCCATTCATATCAGACAATTAATAAATAAGAACTTCTCACCTTTCCAAAGAGGTAAGTGAAGAAATTCTCTTTTAGGTGAAGCAGAACAGTTTGGTTGTTGCACTGATAATCACATTCCTGTACGTGTCAAGCCTGGAGTGTTTTCCTTCTGATTTTGATGTTTTCTAATAATTGCACCATAAAACAGTTCTGCCCAATCTGATAAAATGACACTTCTCACAGGGCTGGTTCTCAGTGTACTCCTTAATTAATATTCATMCGAGTCTTACCTGTCTCATCCTGATGTCAGGGGAGCTGTTGGATATTTTTGCATTGCTGAGTAACCAGGTGTTTTCAACAGATTTGGCTGAAGTAATGAAAAATTACTAATCCGAGAAAAAGATAGAATTAATCACGTAGATTTATCATTAAAAAGAACATAACTGTGATGAAATCTTAATTTAAAAAAGTAATATAGTTGCAATAGCTTTTCTAGCTTAGTTTTCTGTGCAGAAGCACTCTGTGTTGAGCCCTCCTACCTGGGTTTGGTTTAATGTCATTGCTGCTCTGACTTTGTTTTGTAGTGCATGAARCTCAGACAACCCCAATTTGACCAAATTTTGAGTTTCTTTGTGTGTTCCTTACTCTGTGTTTGATTCACCATTCACTGAAATATTTGAATTTACTTTACAAACTCTTTATTTTTTCTTTCTGCCAGTTTGGCTCTCTCCTTGTTTGAGCTCTCCCCGTTCTTTGGTCTGTCAGAAAAGCAGGTATTGGGAACAGTGTTTGTGGGTTGGGTGGTTTGATCCCTCAGGAATGTGGGATCAAACSCAGGACAAGGCTGGAATGTTGCTCWCRRTGCACCCAGAGCTTGGCTGGATGTGRGTGTCTGTCCTGGTGCTGTTTGGATGAGCCCAGATCTCCTCAGAGCCAGATGGTGCCTTTTGTTTTTACCATTTTGGTGCAATTTTGTTCCTTTTCTCTTTGCTCCTTGCATGAATCAGCAAGCACAAGAACCGAGGTTGCCATCAGTTCCCTGTTGTCTCAAATTTCCTCAATTTTCTCAAATTTCCATCCTTCCTGCAACGCTGAGGAGCAGAATTCAGATCCCCAGGTGTGTGCATGGCTTTGGGATGGTTTGGCTGAGGCTGTGACAGTGACTGACCCACTTAATCCCTCATTAGGCAAATATTCAAATGAGATCTCTGCCAATGAAACATAATACATTTACTTCTCTTTTTTTAGTGTTGTATCACTCTTTCCAAATCCTGATCTGGTGCAGTTGCACATTTTTCTCTCCCTTGCACTACAACACACAATGTGATAACCTCAAGAGTTTTGCAGGGATGAGTGGCAGAAGGTCCATTCCAGTAAAATATTTTTTTCTTGTATAAAAACTACTCTTCCTGATATTTTTTATTTAGACTCTTGCTTTTTTTTTTTATTTTTTTTTGCCTTCCTTGATGTGTGTACTCCTGGCTGTAGATACTCTTACCTAAGGGAAAGGCATCCCCCAGTGCTTAGGAGAAGGAAATTTCCTTTCATCAGGAGATTTGAGATTTTTGTTGGCTTGGAGTGGCTTTGGAGAGATGATTTCACTGTGTCCACGTGCTCCCATTGATGAAATAAAGTTGTATTTTCAAGGACCAGAGGACTGCTGTGGTTACACAGGAAATGGCTTTAATTATTAAATAAGGAATTGTTGCTCACTGTAAAGTGTGTCATGGAGAAAAGCTTCTAGAACAGTGCTGTCATTTTTGATTCATGTCAGAGTAAAGGGAGGAGAAATTGCAGTTTCTGGATGGGGTGATTTTATCTTCCTTTTGCTCGAACAGCAGAGTCCTCCCTCCATCCATCCATCCACATCAGGGGGATGTGGTGCAGCTGATTTGTGGGGGACACAACAAATTTCACGTGGATTCCTGGTGGTTTTTTGTGAAATAATTTGCCTTTTGGTGTTTTGGCTGGCAGAGCCCTGTTGGAAGCTGGCACCTGAGCAGGAGCTGCTGCGGGGGAAGGATGCTCAGGGATTCCATGAAGTCCTGGAGCGACAGCCAGTCCGACCTGTACAGCAGCGACCAGGAGGAGGAGGAGCAGATGATTTTTGGRGAAAATGAAGATGATTTGGAGGAGATGATGGATTTAAGTGATTTGCCTACCTCACTCTTTGCTTGCAGTGTTCACGAGGCTGTGTTTGAGGTAGAGGAGGAGAAGGTAASGGAGAAAGAGTGTGCTGTGTTCTCAGTGTGGCTGCAGCTATTGAACAGTTTTATCTGCATTTTCAGTGTATTAATGCACTTTATAACTGAGGGAAAAACCCAACCCAGTGTATTTTCCTGATAAGCTCAGAGCAGCTCGAGTACAGCTACCAAAGAGCAAATAACACCACACTTCTCTGCTTTTGAAATTGTTCATAGATGATAGTGCTGCTCCCATGGAAAGATCTCCTGATTATTATTATTTGTCTTTATCCAAACATGATGATACAACATCCAAGGGCAGATTTCTTACTGCATTTATACTTGGGGAAAAAAAAAAATCTGTAAATGAGGTCTCTTGTGGATCAGAGAACTGGTAAATTAATTGMATTTCATAATTGAAAATTATTAATTGGATTTCATAACCATGAAATTGATTTTCATGACAATGCAGTTACCAATCTTTAAAGAACTTGAAGATGAGAGTCAATGTTCAATAATCCATGGATTTTTTTTTCAATTTTTTTTAAAATTTTTGTGTTTACTTTGAAAGAGACAAAAATCTTGTATTAATAATCTTACTCATGCTGAGAATTTTGACATTTTCCTTAATTAATAAGTACTTTGGTTTATCTAATATAAAAATTACCTGCTTTGCAGAGTATTTTTGCAGATCCTTGATGTAAATCTTGTGCAAGTATCAGTGTTTTTGGAGACCTGCACCTCTGAGCAGCTCTCACTAGGTGGCACTTTGTGTATTCTGAGTTTTTTGGGCTCATTCACATCCGTTTGCTTTTGGAATACAAATTTAACCAGTGAGACAAAGCTGTGCTGCCCTGAATGTGAATTTACAAGCAGAGAGGGAGGTCTGGAGTGTGCAGGTTGAGGTGATTCAGGAAATGGATGAGATTTGAGAGAGGAAAGTGAAAGGAAAATGTTTTCTCATGGAGTGAAAATGTTMATTTTACATCTGGAGAATGTCTGTGCTTCCTCTAGGAAAGGTTTGAAGCACTTTTCACAGTCTACGATGACCAGGTGACATTCCAGCAGTTCAAAAGCTTCAGGAGGGTGAGGATAAACTTCAGCAACCCCGAGGCAGCAGCACGGGCACGGATAGAGCTGCACGAGACCGAGTTCAGTGGGAAGAAGCTGAAGCTTTACTTTGCACAGGTACAGCAGAACATAGGGCTGTTCTACCTCTGTCCCTTTTCTTTGTTCCTTTTTGGCCCAGGAGCTTCATTTGGGATGAATATCTGAAATCACCTTCAGCCTCGTTCTGCACTGAGCTGTCAGAATTTTAGGGAACAGTTTTGCYTTTCATCTTGAGCTGAGATTTATATTTGTCATTTCTGTCTCCTGGCTTTGCTGCAGGTGCAGGTGTCCAGTGAAATAGGGGACAAGTCCTACCTCCTTCCTCCACAACCTGTGAAACAGTTCCTGATTTCCCCCCCTGCCTCTCCCCCAGTGGGGTGGAAACAGAGTGAAGATGCAACTCCTCTGATCAATTATGACCTGCTCTGTGCTGTCTCCAAGCTGGGGCCAGGTAAGATATTTACCTACTTTTGTTTGGTACTTTAACTTCCTCAATAACCACTTTTGAAGTTATTTACTTGTCTTTCTGTGAGAAAAAACGGAGTCTCTTTTTTTGTCATGTTTTCTTATTGAATGAAATATCTATCACTTTTTTTCCTTAAGTAGTCAATTGATGGAAAGTGTAGCACAAGATTGGACTGTGAGGGAGTGACTCCATCATGTGCATATTTTGAATTTTGTCAGTCTCAGGATTAAGAAACACACAGGAAGAGAAGTTCAATCCCTTGCAGATGAGCAGCTCCAGCTATTAAGGATGTCTGGATGCCAATACAGACTTTTTGGGTTTAATCATCAACTTCTTTCTAAGTCTTCCTGGGAAATGTGGTGTTTTCTTTCTGTGAAAACAGGAAATGGGGAGGCTTGATGTGCTCAAATGCTTTTGTAGCTTTTAATTGACAAATGTCACATGAATATAGAGCACAAATGATGTCACTCAGAAATTCTGTGTTTGCTGCTTGTGTTCTGATGTCTTCCTGGGAGTTTTTTAAATGTCAATTAAAAGGTTGATTGTATTCAAAGTATGATGTAACTGATGCAGGGACTGTTGTAAATAATTTCAGAGGTTTAGTGGAGGGTGGAAGTTGAGCACATTACAGATGGSATGGGAATGAATGATAGGAGATATTAAGGAGTTTTTGAGATCAATGCCTTTCCTTGGGGATGTTTTTAACCTGACTCTTGCTGGCTGCTCTCAGGAGAGAAGTACGAGCTGCAYGCAGGGACAGACTCCACTCCCAGCGTGGTTGTGCACGTGTGTGAGAGCGAGACAGAGGAGGAGGAGGAGATCAAGAACCCCAAACAGAAGATCCTGCAGACGAGGCGCCCAGACCCACCCCCCACCATCCTGAGTGACTCCAAAGCCTTCGAGTGTGCCCTGGAGGTGGGGGGGACAATGCCCTGCTAGAGCTGAGCTGCTCCAGGTTGTACCAACACCAGGCACCCAACGAGTCCATGTGTTGCTGTCTGTGCTGCTGCTATAGGTCACAACAGATCTGACTTGTAGTTGTCTCTCATGTTCAAGATTTTGGATGCCAATGCTCTGAAAAGCACTTTAATTTTAGGGACTAGTCCCCCCTGAGTGTAGCAAATCCACCTGACTTGAAATAGTGACAGTTAGGGAGTCTGGYTGTGTTTTGGTTTTTTAAGGTGTTGCCCTTTCCTCTCTGTTGTACAGTGTGATGTTCCAAGTGCTGAAATAATCTCTTCCTGTCACGAGTGGGTTCCAGCAAGTTCCTTGTACAGCAGTTCAATGCTGGTCTGTCCAACAGCTTCCAGTAAATCTAGAGTTAAACACRAGTGAAATGCACTCTTTATGCTCAAATTCCTTGCCAGCTGAGGTGAAGGTGAACCTTTGCTTTTCTCAGAAATGCCAAGTGTGTGTTTGTAATTTGACATGAGGCACAAATACATGGATGGAGCTGAATTCAACAGGGAGGAGAACACCAGGGGAAGAACCTCAGAGTCTGTCACCAACACTCCTGYTCTGGTGCCTGTGGTGTGCACTGACACCTCATTAGGAGTTAATTAATTACAGYAGTAGAGTGAAATACGGATCCAGCTGTTGAATGCATTGTGTGTGATCCTCTGTGACAATCTGGGGATGTTTATTCCTCTCCAGTCCTTGGGACAGCCTCCACATACGAATAAATTCAGTGACTGTTAGGTGCTGGCAGGAGCTAAACCATCCAAGGRTTAATTGTTACCTTCTCCAGTCTGTTTTGTATTTTCAAAGACAATCAGTTGCCTGGCTTAGCCAGTTTTTATGCAGTTTCAGCCCTTGTTTGCTGTTTTTCATGAGGACCTTTTCTGTGTGGCCTCCTGTGTGTCTGACAGAGCATCTGCTGCTTCTGAGACCAGGATGCATCTTTTAGAATACAGATCTTTGATTTTGTGATCTTGTGTTAAGTGTTTTAGTAGGAGGAAAATATGCCTTGGTATAACAACACCTGCTCCTGTGCTTTTATGCTATTTTATAGCCTAACTTTTTTAGTCTAGACAGATTCTTCTTTTTTTCTATTTAAAAGGATAAAATGATTTGTGAACAAACCAGGCTGCTGATGTTCCTGTGTAGAAATCATTCCAAAATTCAGAATTTTCAGGCTCATTTCAGTGTGTTTCAGTTACACATGACATGCTTTGTGAACTTCCAAAAGTGTTTTCACTTGACTGACAGCAGGGGGCAAATGAATGGGCAGGGATTCTCATGGATGGGGAGRTTTTCAGCTCAGGATCCCTCCTGCCACCAGCTTCAAAATGGGAYCCTGCAGGCAGCTCCTTGCTCCAGAGGCAAGTACAAAGGTAGGGASATGGGGTTTGTCCATCTTGGCTCCACAGGTGTGGTGTTTATGTATCTCTTCAGGTATTAAAATCACTCCAAATCCAGCTTCAGTGTCTCACTGTTCCATGGTATTAAAACAGAAGTAAAAAAAAAACCAACAAAAACCTGTGTTATCCAGCAGGCTTGTGGATTTTTGAAATTCCAGAAGTCCAGTTTGGATTCTCTGTGGTGTTTAAATTTTTTAAATTATTTCATTTCTACCCCGGTGTAGAAGTTGCTGTAAGTAGGAGTAGGTGGAAAACATTCAGAAACAGTTTTCTAAGGAGAATCAAGCGTGACGTTGTTGATGTATAAATATGTAAAATGTGGAACAACATTCCAGCACTTTCCATTGTGTAAAGACACTTCGAATAAAACAATGCAGTGCCATTCACACTTGGGATTTTCACTGTGTTCCGTGCTGGACCGAGGTGGAGATGGGASATTTTTCGTGGTGGTGTCTGTTTGAATGTTCTTGTGGGCAGATGGGGTGGGAGACTCTGTGTGCCTGGAGGGATTTGGGAACCTGGCTCCTTGCAGGGACCACTCTGGGTGGGGAGGAAGAGCCAAAGCAAAGGCTTCAAAACATTAATTTAGCCATCCATCAATATCAGAAATTATTCTACTCCACTCCAGGGTTACGGCCTGCCTTGGAAAACAGAGCTCAAGAACCTCACCAGAACCTGTTAATCACTGACCTGCTTTCAGCAGCAGGCATGCACAGAGGCACCAACTCAGCCCTTTCTGAGCATGCACTTTGTATAAATAAATACCCCAAATTCCTTCACAACATTCTCCGTGAGCAGCAGCTGAAACRTGTGGTGTTCCTTTGTGTTCTGGAGTTACTGGGAGTACTTTGGGTTTATTTKATAATAGCTGAGAACCTGCAGTTGCAGCTCCTCATTCTGCCTTGACACTGAACTGCTTCCCMTGGAAAGATCCTGTACATAAAATTCCAATTGCTTCATTTATTCCCTGCAAGGTTTAATTTCCATTTTTTGTCTGGTTTTGAATTAGGGATATTTTTTAGCCCAGAACAGAAGATTGTTTTGTGAATCTTACTGGGTTTTGTGTATTTGCTCCACTGTAAATGTAAAACTTGCTAGGAGAGATTTGTGGTGTGGAAAGAGACCCCAGCCAAGCCTCATCCCCTTGGAGAGAAGCAGGGCAGGATAAAAGACTTTTCCAGTAGGTTTTGACCCTGAGATTTGAGTGAGGGTGACACAGAGCTGTCCCTGCCATCCCTCCCAGCTCCAGGGAGGGTTCACAGGCTCTAATTGTCTCCATAAAACAAGAGCAGGGCCCAGAAACAAACCGCGGTATTTTCAATGTTACCTAATGTGTTCAAATCCTGCTCTGAACCAGGTCTGTGCACTGGAACACTTCAGCATGCTCAGGCTTGTAAAGTTTCATTTCCCTGCTGAAGGGAGCATATTCCAACCAGCAGCAGCAGCKGGGTGAGGCAGTGGGAAAGACATTGTGGCAATCTGGTTTGCTCTTGCATAAACTATAAAAATAACTAATTCAGTGTCCTTTGTGGCTCTGTGCTGGCATCACAGGCACRGGAGCAGGGATTGGGAGGGCAGCCAGGCTGAGCTGAGCTCTCCTGCTGGGACAGGTCACCTCAGCTCCCTTCATCCCTCCCGGGGATGTCTGGTAATAATTTCTGAGGCTGGGGATGTGTGGAGATCACCGAGATCCTGGTTTCACAATACTGTTCCAAACTCAATAATGAATTTCTAGTTCTCTTGATATCTGCTGCAGTATCTGTTCTCTCTGTTCTCACTGAGACATTCCAGGTGAGCTGCAGATTAACCAGCAGTGTGTGAGCTGAGCTGGTGTTCCAGGAGCAGCCAAATCCTGCTCCATGGGTACATTCAGGGACATTTCACACCTTGTAAGGTTCTGTCCCTTCCTTAGGGGTTGGTAATGCTGCAGTGGGTTATGATTCAGAGTTATGCTTTGTCCTTTGATGTTCATTAACTGCATCAGGATTGTTCTGGAGCATCCCAGACTCTCCTCTGGTCCTCCTTTAATGGGATGAGCTCAGGCTTGATGACTGATGTTGGCAGCARAGCTTTCCCTGTAGCAGTGTATAAACTTGTGTATAAACAAATGTATTTCTGTATTTAACAGTGTATAAACCTGGGGTGTGGCTGGGGCTCACAGTAAAGGGTTACAAATTCAGGACCTGGTGAGGGACAAACCCTTGGCAAAGTCCCACCCTCCCTCTCTGCTGTCACAGAGGCTTTGAGAGTCCCATTTGCTTTTACTGAGCTTTTACTTGGCGTCCCTGTAKATGTTCACACCCCTCCTGAAGCGTCGTGGCAGGGACAGCATTTCATAAACAAAGGTGGTTTTAGTAGAAAGTGTGCAGAGCACATTGTGATGCCTGGAAACAATTCCACTGGGATTGTACCAGTTTTGGAGTGCTGTGTTCCAGTTCATCCCAGTGGGACCCTGTGAGTTGATTTTCTGAGGGTGATGTTTTGTACAGAAACTTTGAGGGTGTTTTACCCTAAAGCAGAGGGTGTCATCCTTTCCTTACACCCTGCCACAAGGGGAATGTCCTCCTTTAGGACAAAGCCATGGGAACGCTGCTCTTCCCAAGAAATGCACTGCAAGTGCTTATGGACCATCAGGATCCCCAGGTGCTGAGAGGCAGGGTTTTGTAAGGCAGGTTTTATCCTGTGTTCCAGGTTTATAAAGGATGTGGGTGATGTGGTTGTGGCTGCAGCTGGGGCAGCTGAGATGGAGGATGGGGGGAAACAGCTCCTGCACAGCAGCTCAGCAACCCCAAACCACAGATGGAACCTGGAATGAGGGCTGTGGCTTGTTCCTGTGGTTTTCTGGTTTCCCATGGGAGCAGCATCAGATCCAGACAGCGGACAGATCCCCTTTATGTGTSATTTCCAAAAGGAAAAATCCAGTGACTGTGGTCACACTTCTCCCCACTCATTCGTGGGAAATGCAGGATAAAGCCAACGAGGCACAGGTTAAAAATGAGGATTCCTTTCCAGTTTGATCCTTTTGATTCCACTGATGAGTGGACAAAACAACTCGTCCCATCTTTGGGCTGGATGTGCTTGGGATTCTTCTCCCGACGCGTCTGGGAGACCTCTGTGCATCGAGGAGCCGCAGAACCCGGACAGTTCCCAAAGCTTGTGAGAGCGGGGGTCCTGTCCCAGCCCCCTCCATCCCCCGCAGCCGCAGCCCCGCACGGGCCCGGGGAGGCGGCGCCGGGGGCCGGGCCGGGCTGGGCGGCCCCGGGGAGGCACCTGCGGCGGCGGGGCCGTGCCGGGGCTCCGGGAGCACCGGGCTCCCCGCGGCAGCAGCGGGGCTCGGCTCGGCGCGGTTCGGCAGCCCCGGGCGGGCAGGGGAAGGGGCAGGAACGGCGGGCACAGAGCTCCGCAGCCCCGGCGGGCGGAGGGAACCGGGAGCCCCGAGCCCGCAGCATCCTCCGTGAGTATCCCCGGCRGCAGCGCCGGCTGAGGGTCCGGGGTAGGAATCGCTCCTGAATGGGGATAAACGTGACCCTGCTGCCCTAAAGCTCTGTCACTTTGTGCCGCCGGTGCCAGCGGTGGCTCCAGCGCGGTTACTCCGGGGTTGTGTGCGAGGCACTGTGGAAGTACCACGGGAAACGCGAATTCTTTATCCGTAACTCTAAGCCAGAAATAGAGAGCAGATGTCCTCGCACSTTTCTGTGTTCCACTGGTGCTTGAGCAGCAGTTCCATTAATTTGGAACCTTTAAGGGACAGGATTGGGACTGGGACTGGTCTGGCGCGTTGTTTCCTCCCCGGAGAGAGGGAAGCCGGTGCGGCTGTTGAAAGCTCATTCCCTCGCTGGCGGTGTCCTTTCATCACTGGGGACGCTGAATCTCTTGTCCCGACTTATTCAACCCCAGCACTATAAATATGGGTTTGTTGGTTATTTGTGGTTTGTGGTTTTTTGTTTTTTGGTTTTTGTTGTTGTCGTTGTTGTATACTACTTTTTTTTTTTTTTTTTTTTTTTTTTTTCCCCCCAGTCTGCTGAGCAGCGTGCTGGAAAGGGCTGGCTGAGTAATATTTAACAGGAAAAGAACTGGAAAGCTCAGAGCATTGTGTTACAGTTCATTGAGTGTCTCCAGCACAGAACAAAACTACACTGCTTGCATTATTTGGGAACACGCTGAAGCTGCTGACAGGTTTGAATGGTGGTTTCTGGCTTTTCCCGGTAATTAACGTATTTAATGCTCCAGGAAGTCCTTGCTAAAGGAAGCGTAGCTTTTTGTAAACAGCTTTCACTGATGGGATGCATTGTGCTGGGTGGGCAGGAGGGGTTGGTTTAGTGGTTACAAACAGGACACAAAGGCACAGCAGCGAGCGGTGATTTCAGGGCCCCACAGAGTTCTTGTCCCTCTGTGGGGACAGGGCTGTGGGTKCCAGATTGGGGCACTGAGGGTGAGCTGCTCAGAGTGGGATCCCTGTGCCCAGCTATGGCTGATGGTGCAGTTACTCAAAGTAGGAAACCCACACGAGCCACCTCTGCCTTGGGATCTGTACAGGTGCTTGGAGGCATTCTCCTCCTTTCCAAATCAGGTTTTTTTTTTTCTGGGTAATATTTAACTGCTCATTACCCAGCCCTCCTTCCCAGGAACACACCAGAACATCACCAGTGAGCAGTGGGAAAAGCCACCTCATTCCAARAAAAYACCAGAAAAAAAMMCMMAAAAAMMMAAGCAGTTGCACCTTTTCCTCTTCRTTACAACAAGGTGGATCCTGTGAGAGTTCTCATTTGCCAGCTCTTGGTTACACCACTTGGAGTTGGTTAATTCAATGTCTGTGTGTACAGTCATAAGTAAAAAATGTAGAATAAGAGCTTTCTAATAATCACCCAAAAAAAGCTGCCAACAAAAGAAAACCTCCAGCATTCCTTCCAGGAATAAGCTGCAAAATTGTTCCCAGCTCTCTCTYGATACCTGATACATCATCTGTGTGCTGCATATAAATGGGAATTTAGTTTTAAAGTCTGTTTGAGCTGCAGAGCTTCAGCAGTGTGGTGATCCTTGGGGTGGGGGGGTTCCATTTTAAGTTCAAATCCTGGTTTTGTTGGATATTTCCCAAGTGTCTAAGGCGAGTCATCTGATCCCAGTGTGCCTTAGATCCTGGCCTGGAACCAGTGGGAAAATACCYCTGGCTTGTTTTGCTTCCATATCCTGCATGGGCAGCCCTACCCTGAAGGGTCTGGAGTGGTTTTAGGATCTGAACGTGGTGGAGTTCCTGTCGTGCCCATGAATAAGTGCATTCACACAAAAGCAGAGGAGAAATGTGTGTGGCCCAGAATTTTAAGGCAAAAAAAAGAGTCAGAATGGGGAAATTTGCAGTTCACAGTCTGGWTTAGATGCTGCTCCTGGGTGAGTCAATGACAAAAGTCTACCAAGTTCATATTTCCAAGCACAGCTTTAGAAATGAGGTTGTTCCTTTCCTGGGGTCCCGTGTCACTTCCTCACTTCTTGACACCTGTGGGAGCCCCTCTGACAACAGGAGCCAGGCAGGCAGAATTACGGGGTTTTTATATTTTTTATTTTTATATCTTATATTTTCTTTATTGTTTTCTATTTTGAGGAGTTTTTAACTGGTGCTGCTCCTAMACAAAACTGCCTGCAGTTTGTGCAACTTCCTCTGTCTTGGCAAGGCAATGAAGTGCTTTTAATGTGTGTTTTAACAACAGTTCAACCTGGGCAGCTCAAGCCAGAACCTGAGAAAATGCTTATGTAAAGGTGCTGCCCTGACACGGGGACACTCAGGCTCACACAGGGAGGGGCGTTTGCCTCAGGCCGCTTTCATCTTGGGCTTTTCTTTCCTCCTTCCTCCCTCTTCAGAGCCTCTCGAGTGAAATCCAGGCACGTTCAGGTCTCACTGAAGGACGYTGTGTTTTTATTACTGAAATCCCAGCTTGCCTCGATCCCTGGCAATGTTCCCAGGGATGCTGGGAAGGTGAGGGCAGGAACAACTCAGCTCCATGCAAACCCCACCTTTTCCCGGGTGAAAGCACTGAATCTGTGTGTGCTCCTACCCACACCTGCCTGTCCTGGCAGTGAGCTGGCTCTCCAAATCCAGCCATCCTGGAAAAACCCTCAAACAAAGCCCTCTGTTCCCTGTGGCCAGCTGCTGCTGACAGGTGAGCTCTGATCCCCATCTCCTCCCAAACAAACCCAGCYCAGCTCAGCAGGGAATTCAGCAGGGCAGGGGAGCAGGAAGGCTTTAGAAAAGGGGGCATTGCTGCCACTTGCCAGAACAACCTATCCCCTGTATCTGCCAAGGTGTTTGGGATGGAAACGTGCCCAAAGCTGAACTTTAGATGGAAATATTTCCAGCTCCATAATGTGGGGATGCAAAAATAACCAGCAGTGTGGAGAGTGAGGGTGAATGAGAGGCTCTCAGCCCAGGCAGGTGTGTGTGCACAGGGGGAAGTGCAGCCCTGTGTCATGGACAAAGAATGTYCTGTGATTACTGTATCAAAGTCCACTTCTTCTCCCTTGCTGAAAGGCTTTTATCCAGACCTCTTGATTTTCYAWACGTTTTTCTAACCAGAGTAGGATCCAGSCTGAAAACCGGTAGGTTCCCATGGATTTTGCTGGGCTTTGCTGGGTCTTTCCTGCAGCAGAGGCTCRGTCAGGTGTAACCTGCTGATTCACRGGGCAGGAATGGAGCTGGGACTCCAGGTAAGAGCAGTTCTGGCACCTTCCACCCTGGCTGGAGACACAGACCTTGGACCTCTTGACTTGCTGCACAAAGCAGAAAAACCTGAAGCTGATGCATTTTTCAAACTGCACCTSAGTTTGGTGCACCCCGTTGGTAAATTAATCCTTTTTGTAAACAGGCGGCTTCACTATAACAATGAACATTCTTTGGGTCTGGGTGACTCAGGCACAAACAGCTCCCCACTCCCAAGGTGGTTTGACCCAGAGGGAAGCAGGAATATTACACGGCTTAACAGCAACATATCCAGCCTTATTTATCTGGGGGTTTTATTTTGGTAGCCAGAGGAGGAGAAAAAAGCTTCTCTAGGTCTGGCATTTGTACTTTTCTAATCGGGAGGTGAGAGTTGGATGTGGCATTTTCTGAATGATGCCCATAGTCAGAACATTTGCTCAGCTTTTCCCAGCCTGGAGAGTTTCTTGAGCTGGTTGGGGAGACAGGAACAGCCATCCCTGAGCTCTGGTGCCTTCCAGGTTCCTTTGAGTGTGGGTGAACCCTGTGCTGCACAATAGGGCTGRGCAAAGTCTGAACACAAAATATTTCAGCTGATGCTCCTGTTGCTGAATTAACTTGGCCTCGGCTAAACAAAGGAATCATTCAGTCACAGGAGAATGACCCAGTTGCAGGCTTGGGGCAGAGTTATTTTGGTTTTCAGATTAAAAGRAGAAAACCAAACTTTTAACTTGAGGGGATTGAAGCATTTGCTGAATGGCCCTTGCAGTTCTGATCCTACACCCCAGTGAGAGAACAACCACTTCCCTTCCTGTTGGGTCCTGATCCCTCTCATTCCTCACTGACCTGCTCCAGGGATTTTTAATTGCTATTAATTTTTATTACCAACTGATTCACACGTAATTATTCCTGGCTGTTGTGTATCTTGTGCTGTGTAAAATTAAAGACACCATGCCTGCTTGTACTGGGCAGMATCTGAAGTGGGAAACTCAGCTCCATATCAAGAGCTGAAGAATAATTTACTTTTCAGCAGACAGTTGGAGTGTCTGAGCTCTTTGGGGCTGGGAGCTGAGCTGGTTCCAGGGGCTCTTTGAAGTGGTGCTCACACCCCTCYCAGGCTGAAGGAGCCCTTTAATGGCTCAGGTTTCCAGGGACACTTGGAAAACCCTTATAAAACCAGCAAACATCCAGGCTGCTCTTTCCAGATCCACAGTTTTACCCTCCAAAACACGGGCACATTTTCAGCTGTGCCCTTGGAAGTTTATCCACTTCCAATAACAGACCTGAGCTGCCACTGGGCTGAACTCACARCCTCCTGTCACAGCCACGTTGCAGTATCCCTGTCAAGGGCTGCAGTTTGTCCTTTTGGAGCTTCATCTCAGGGGTTAAATGGTTTTTCTTCTCCGTGTCAGATGAGTGAAGTTCCTTTAAATTCCATTTTATAATGGGGTTTTTAGACCTTTCTGTGATGACTTTCCCCCTTCCCTCAAGATTTATTCACATTCATTTGCTCAGTGATCTGAATCTCAGAGATGATAATCTAAAAGCCTAAAGCATTTACAATATATATTTATCCAAAACCTGTATAACAGCAACAATGCATTATTGTGTTGATATCATCTTTTATCTCATTAACACCGAACTGGGGATATTTTGAGGCAAATTGCACAAGATTGTACCAAAATTTACATTGCACCAATTTCCACTCCTTCAGCACAATGAAAATGTGTTTCCATCACAATGAAAATATGAAGAGCCCCAGTTCAGCAAGCCTGTGTGTGGTAGGCCCTGAGCCTTTAGTGGACATTTGCCTAATTATCACTACAAAWTTCAGGTTGATATTTTATTAATTCACTTTTTTTTCCCCTCTGTAGCAGACTCAAGATGACGACGGCCTCACCACTGACCAAYAACACTCAGCTCTCAGTGAATGTGACCACAAAGTCTCAAGAACAAAGTCTCTATCAAAGTAAGGAAAAGAGTGGGGTGGTGGCTTTTTTTATTTTTTTTTTAAGTGGACTTTGAACTTATCAAACTTCAAACACTACAGTGACAACTTTGTAAATATGGCTTTTTTCCCTTCCTGCTTCTCTCCCAGGCTCTGGAGCAATAGTTGCWGCCATCGTGGTGGGGGTGATTATTATTTTCACAGTGGTTCTGCTCATCTTGAAAACATACAACAGGTACATGGCCAAGTGCTGTAGTCACCAAGTCAAACCAAGATGACCAAAGTCTCAATTCTCAGCTAACAGAGCATTTCAGGGCTTGTTGCTGAACATTTCCAGGAGAATCTAAACCCTAAAGTGCTGATTGCAGTGTCCTCAATCTCACCTTCAGTGCTCTGATTGGATCATTAGGAAGCACAGAGAGGTCCTTGATGGAGGCTGCCTGGTGGGAGCTCTTTTTAGGGATTCCTGTTGATGCAGGGAAGCTCTGAGTGCTGCCAGAGGGGAGCTGATTTCTCACTCCTCAGAGCTCACACGCTCTGGAAGAACTTCCCATTTGGTATCTTTGGCATGAAATCCTGACTTGGTTTGACTTTGAAGTGACTGGGTTGTGTGGGAATGTCCCCCCAAAGTCCCCATGGCAGTGCCAGCTCTGSTGAGTGACAATTCCCCTCTTACCTTTGGCAGGCGAATGCGAGTGCGGCGGGAGCTGGAACCCAAAGCCTCCAAGCTGGCAGTGCCACCTCCCCTGGGSCACAACAGCCACAGCCTGTGCCAGCAGCCCACGGTGACATTCATCCCTGTGGACATCCACATGCAGAGCAGGTAACTGGGAATGCTCRTCCTCCCTGTGAGAGAACAGATGGAATTGTTATTGCCGTGGATCTGGGACTCCTCAGCAAAGCTGCACTGGGAACAGCAAGGAGCTGTCATTGTAGAGTGTAATTCATGCTGAGATTGCTTTTGGGGAGCAAAAAGAAGAGGTCTGGAYATTTTTTCTCTGACTGAAATAACTGGTGGAGGTCTAGGAATCATCGGGAAGACAGCAAGGCCTCTTCTGAGTCTGGAGAAACCAAGAAGAGAAGATGCCCAGATTTTTTGGAGCTTTTGCTTCCTCAGAGACTTTGAACTCTCTCTGTTTTGCTGATAAACAGGAGGCAAAATCTGATAAACAGGAGGCAAAATCTGGACATGCCCCAAACTCAGGTTGGACCTGAGTTTGTTACGAGTTACATGAAGCAGGTTTGTGGTTTGTTTTATACATTATGGGTAGTACAGGAGGTATCAAAATTGTATTTATCGTTACTCATATTTCATGTTTCTAATGCCACATATGTATGGGTTGAAGAAAAAAAAAAGTTACTTTTTATTTTCAAGTATTTTTAAACTATTTCTATAAACCCTGTAACTCCATTTCCAAAGGAAATCAGTGTCTGAGGTTTTTCACTCTCAAGAACTCARGTTCATGGCTGGAGCTGTGTTAGAATGCTTTGTCTCACACAAAATCTGAGATCTTTAATTGAAAAAATAAGCATAGAAATATAAAAGATCAGCTTGGAGAAAGCAAGGGAAGCTTTGTGCAGCCCCAAAGTGCCACTCACCCTGCAAGGCTTTGTTCTCTGGTGCAGCCCAAGTATTTGTAACAATTTTTTCTTCTCAAAACCAGCCCAAAGCGAGGTTGTTTTGCAAGTGAGAGGGCTGTGGGTGTGCAGCAGTGGCACAAAGGAATTCCCAGGGAYACTCAGAGCCCACTGGGTGGGAACACAGAGCAGCATTGTCAGACACTGAGTGCAGATTGTGTAAGCTGACAGACAGGATCAGGAAAAAGCTCAGGAGTTAAACCCCAAGTTTAACTTGTGGAAGCAGCTCCAYTCCTTGGCACACACAGCTGGGATTTCATGGAATCACTCCCTGCAATGGTTGGACAGAGCAGGAATTTACTGTTGTCTCACTGAATGGATCAGAGAACCTCCAGCTTTAGAGCTTTTTGCCCTGCAGCCCCTTCCCAACATCCCTAAACCCCATCAGGTGGAGAAGGACTGGAGATTTTATATTTTGTATTTCCTCCAATAAACTTGGATCTCTTGAACAGATCAGTTTTACAAACCAGTATTTTTTGTGTGTGTGCAGAAACTAAATTCAATTACTTTGCATTTTTTTTTTGCCTGAAACTGAAGCACAGTTTGGATTCCAAACCAAATATTGAGACAGCTGTTTGTGAAGTTTCTGAATCTCCTTGTAAATATTTCACTTGTACTGGTTCTCTAACTTATTTTTGTGGCAGAGGTGATGGATTTAATCACTCAGAAGAGACAGCAGAAGCAAATCTCATTTTTTTTTCCAATATAAAGGAGTTGATTTTCTGTTCCTATCTCTGGATGTTCTCTGTTCCACRGTGCCAAAATCAAGATTTTTAGGAAAGATAAGCCCATCTCACTGTTGTTGTTTTTAACATCCCCAGCCAGACCTACTTCTACCAAATTTTGTTTATTTTTCCATGTGCTTCATTTCAAGCCAACAAAGTTCACAAGCAGAATAAGCAGAACTACTGCAAGCAGCTCCAATTTCACAGAATTACTATTCCTGGCAGCAGAATTGGCTGCTCTGACCACACCAGCACTGCTATGGCTGAAAAATTCAAATACCACTAAAWTTTGCCTCAAATTGGCACCTCCTGGGAGGCCCCACAACCCCTCCTGGCAGCAAAACCCAGAGCTTGTGCTGAGCAAGCAAAATCACCTCCTCAAGAAACAAAAATCCCCGCATTGTGCAATTTGCTGGGGATTTGAGTTTTCCAGGAACAGTCCCACACTCCCCTTGCCCTGGTAACAGCAGCCTTTCATTGCTGCTTCGACCTGCCCTGACTCAGCCTCCAGGTTCCAATTCCAAACACTCAGATTTTGGGAATGCTCCCCTTTAGCTGGCCCTCACAAGACTCAGTGGGGTTTTTTTTGCTCCTAAAAGTTCTGGAGTATCTTCAGCAGGTCGGATTCTTCAGACTGAATTATATGGACGCAAGCACACTGGTGAAATGTTTAATTTTTCAGTGCTGGCTAAGTCCTGATCCCAAAACTCARCTTTTCCCCTTTATTTCCATTCTCCTTATCCCAGCAGAGAGCACGGAGCTCCACCTAGTGTCCTCCTGCTTTACCACGGGTTCTAACTCTTGTTTCTCAACAAAAACATAAAACAATTCCAACTTTAGCTATCACCTTTAYAAAATTCCCTCATCCAYGGTGCCAGGACTGTTGAGGAGCTYARTCGAGCACTGTGCCAAGTTTGGCCGTGCAAAACTCAGATSASTGCAAGTTTAAGGAGATAAAATGTGWGAATGACCCTTGGGTTTTATTCCTGAGTCCCAGAATGAATTTATTTCCCAGAACACATCTGTAATTCAGTCCATAAGGAGCCACACAGATGAATGACCCACACCAGTCACACGAGGTTGTTGTTAGTGGAATGGGGTGGAGAGCTCATTACTTGTCCTCAGGACAAAAAGGACAAGGAGCTGCTGGAGAGGGCCAAAAAGAGGCCCCAAAGATGATTTGGGGTGTGGAGCATCTCCCTGATGTGGAAAGACTGCGGGAGCTGGGCCTGGTCAGTCTGGAGAAGGGAAGGCTGAGAGGGGATCCCATCAATCCATAAAATATCCCCAAGGGGTGTCAGAGGATGGTGCCAGGCTCTGTTCAGTCACAGGACAAAGAGCAATGGCTATGAACCGAACCACAAGGACTTCCACCTCAACATGAGGAAGAACTTCTTTCCATGAGGGTGGCACAGCTCTGAAACACTTGCCCAGGGAGGGCCTGGAGCCTCCCTCTCTGGAGACACCTCAAACCCACCTGGACGCGTTCCTGTGTCMCCTGCTCCAGGTGACCCTGCCTGGCTGATCGCCAAAGGTCCTTCCAACCCCAATTATTCTGTGATTCTGTGACCTTTCCAGAGCCCTGCTATGCCGGGAAGGAGCCGAGGTGCCGTTCCGAGGGCTGCAGCGGCTGTGCCCTCACGGAGCGACCCCGCAGCCATCACTGAAGGAACCGCGGCAGTGAGGGCGCCTCAGATCTCGCGAGATCTCGGCATCAGCAATGAGTGCAAGGGCCGAAATCTCGCGAGAGCGGGATTCACACGCCCGCTCACCCCCGCGCCCGCCGCCAAAGGACGCGTCTCTCTGATTGGTCCCGCCGCGGTGCGCGCGCCGACCCTCCACCAATCGGCGARGCCGCCGGTGGCGGGGGGTGGGGAAACCCCGCGCGGCGCGCGCCTGGCCCCGCCCACCCCGCCGCGCGCTCCTCCCGCCTCTTCCCTCCCTCCCTCCACCCCCGGCACGGCTGAGGGGGCGCGCGGTGCACGCCGGGACGGCAGCGCGCGCCGCGGCCGGGAGGAGGCGGAGGAGCCAAGATGGACGCCGGGTTCTTCCGCGTAAGTGCCGGCCCCGCGGGGCCCTGAGGGCGGGCGGGCAGCGCGGCGGCCTCCCCGGGGCACAGGGGGACCCACCCGGTCCCGCTGCGGGCCCGCGCTGGACCTGCGCTACCCCGCGCGGCGCCGCCGTGCCCCCCCGCCCCCGCCCTGCGCAGGCTCCTCGCCGCGGAGAAAATGGCGGCGGGAAGAGGCCGCGGCGGCGCGGCCCGGGCGGAGCGGGGGGGAATCGAGCGGCTCCGGGCCACGCTCGGTACGGGGGGAGCTCAGCGGCCGCTCCCGGGGCTGCGCTTCCCCGGCCAGGCCCTGCGCCGGGCCCTGAGCGGCACCGGGCCCGGAGGTCCCGACCCACGCGGGGTCGTGTCACCGCTGCGACCCCCGAGCTGAGGGGGAAGGGAGAAGGGGCCGAGGAGTTCTGGGGGACAAACCTGATTTTGTGMTGTTCACGTTCTGTAATGTCCACGTTCAAAGTAAATAAACAACCCTGCCTCTATTTTTGGAGAGATTATTCAAAGGTTGTTAAGTGTGTTCGAAGCAAAAAGAATTTAACCTTTATTATTAGGTTAGTATTTTATTTTTAATCATGGAGTTTTTTTTCTCTTCTTACAGCTGTGCTGCATTTTCTGCAGGAACCATTAAATTYTACCCAGGGCCTATTTCTTCTCAGCTTCTTCTTCCATTAATTGGAATGACCTTATTTTGGAGGGYTCTGTGATTATTTTGAAATCCAATTTAAATTTTCAAGATCCATTCATTTGTTCAGCCTATATTATTTTCATTACCTGCAGCTAGGATGCTTTTWAACCATGGCAGCACACATAACCCTTCCCTTAGTTCAGTTTTGTGTTCATGGACTAACTTGAGAAGAATAATTGCAGATTGAATCTMTACTTGTTTTAATGCAATTGTTAAAAGGGTTTCAAATCAGGTAGTTGGATAGACAGCAGGATTACTGGGGTTGAAAACATTGAGTTAGAAATGTAATTTTCTGTTAAACTGGCCTGTGGAAGGTGGTATTTTATAAAAGCAAAAGCAGCATGGCACTGAAGTGGGCCTGTGAACAGCAGTGTGGTTTTATTCTGGATTCAGGAGCCAAATGTGAAATGACAGAAGTGCAGCAGAGCAGCAGTTTGGACTCCCCCTATCAAGAAACCTCGTATTTATAAGTCTTTCAGTTCTTCACACTTCAGTGAAGTTTCAGTGCAAATTATTTTGTCTGTCTTTAAATTCCTGTAGCCCTGTGCTCTGGCCTGCTCCCTTTGCTGCTTGCCACGTGTTATCAACAGGGTGCAAGAAACTTCCTTTCCATTTCCCTTCTGAGTTGTGAAAGAATTAAAATCCYAAAAGAACATTAAATTGTTGAGTGAACTGGCAAGTATYRTGCATTTTTCACAATCCAYGCAGCAGACTGCAAATWYTRTAAAGAGTTTTAATCCCTGTAAGTGCCTGTGCCACAGAGTTTGGGATTCCCATGCTCTGGAATAGCAAAGGGGAATGTCAGTAGATTGCTCCATTTCAGTAACTGTTGACTTTGCAATGTTATGTTGGTAATTCAGGTGTTTTCTCACCTGGTTTTTCTTATTTATTATAATTTAATTCCTTGACAGTTTATATTCTTGCTCGTAGAGAACCCCTTTCTTCCATGCATTGTGAATTACCTCTATTGAATTCCATGTTTTCCATCAGTCACACTGGTTTCCAGAATAAACTTCCCAAACTGTGGGTTTGTCCTCAATCCTGAGCAGCCCATCAGGATTTGGATGCAGCTCTGCATGTCCTTAAATTCCTGCCTGGTTCTGTTTACTTCYCTACCAATAAATTTTCCAGAATTGGACTTCCAGGCCTTTCCCTCCCAAATGAATTAACCTAGAGTTTCTGCCCATGAAAGACGAGTGAGTTGGTGAACTTTTAACAGAGCAGGATCAATAAAATGTATTCTTTGTACTTGCCTGCTCCCTGGGGCTGCTTTGCCTCAGAGAAACTGCCCAAAGGTTTCAGAGGTGTCACTGTAAGCAAACAGTTTTTGGACAGAGGAAAACCACTTTATTCCTGTTACATGGAATTGATAAAGCCTTTTCCTGGCAGTTTGATGCTGTTAATATTTTAATTTGTGGGCAGTGCCAGGGGGGTTGTGATAGAGGTGGCACTGTGGGGCCCAGCAGTTGCTCACCCCAAAATCCTCAGCACTTGGTGAGAGCTAAAATTGAAAAGCACCTGGAAAAGCTTATTTTGCCTGGAATAAAAGATAAAAACCAGTCTTACAGATTGGTTTCACTGGTGCACTGTGCATAGGTGTGGGAAAATAATACTCAGAGGTGGTTGAGTGCCCTACAGGCTGAAACTGTTGTTTGCTGTGCTGCAGGGAACCAGTGCAGAGCAGGACAATCGCTTCAGCAACAAGCAGAAGAAGCTGTTGAAGCAGTTGAAGTTTGCAGAATGCTTAGAAAAGAAGGTAAGTGGGATGGGGGAGATAGGAAGGGAGACACACCAGTCAAAAAGAATTTTCAGTGGACTGAGTGTCAGGTGGAACACAGAGGAATGTTTTCCCTAAAACCATCCTGGAGGATATTGGGAATGTCTTGAGGAGCATCAGGTACAGCAGTGATGTAAATGACCTGCTTATAGTGTTAAATATCACCAGTAGGCTTTCGTGCAGCTTCASAAGTTTTCCAGCAAATATTGATTCATTTGGAATTCTAAGCATTCTTAAATGCAGCTCCTGAAATTGTTGGAGTCTGGTGGRCAGGGGAAGTGGTGAGCCTGGATCAAGACTTGCTTTATCATTCAGTTTCATTTTGTCATTTCCTCGGGAGTGACCAATAAATCATGCAAAGTACAAGTTTCACTTTGTTTTTTTTCTCCTCTCCTCTGGCTGTTGTTAGAGTTTACTAGAAATTTGCAATGT